ACTGGTGGGCATTGATGAGGAGGCACTGATAATGCTGCACTGTTATGCAGCAATGATGGGCACTGATAGGCAGCAGTGATGGGCGACACTGATGGACAGGACTGATTGACAGCACAGACTGATGGCACTGATGGGCACTGGTGGGGGGCACTGCGGGGAGGCACTGCTGGGCACTGATCATCAGGGCACGGATCATCAGTGCCCCAAAGATCAGTGCAGATGTCCTCTGTGACATTTACTGGTTATCGGTAGTACTTTCCTCATGCTGTGGCAGCGTGAGGAAAGTGCAGCTGATAACCGGCAAATGTCGCAGAGGACATCTACTGTGTCATTGGACACAGCTGATCACGTGGTGAAAGGCAACTGTGATTGGCCTTTTACCTCAACATGTGATCAGCAGTGTCCATAGGACACAGCGATCACGGACAGCGACAGGTGCGCACCACTGGGGGCGTGCGGGAGGGTGCGTTCCGGGAGGATGTCATATGACGTCCTCCCAGAACTGGACAACCGCGCTGTAGCTGTCATTGGGCTATAGCGCAGTTGCAAAGTGGTTAATGGCTTGCGGTTGCAGCAGAGCCCCATTGACTTGAATGGGCAAGTTTGAGGCACTGACGCCCTTCAGTTTGATTCAGTTTTTTGCATTCGGTTTTGTGCAGCGCAAAGCATTATGGCCTTGGCATGTGAACACTCCACTCCATCTATATGGTCACTCAACTCCCTGTTTTTACCTCCCCCTTGGCCACCCACTTGTACAGTAGTGGAGACAAAGTATTGATCATACCCACTTCTCATCATCTCCGTGTCACATTGTAGTCCATGTGCACCCAACTGACATGAGGTTGAACATTCCTTCATATAGACCTCATTCAAAACAGGCCTTACATCCATACACAGAAAAAGGAAAAACTGATCACCTGCCCAGGTCTATAAATGGCTTTTTAAGCAGTGAACATGGAGGGTGTCACTGTGTGAAAAATTCAAAAAATAGAACTATCCAGTTCAACTTGCCAGCCTACCCCAGGCTAATAATGGCTATTGTCAGCAAGGAACATGGATATGTATAACCTATCAAAAGAGGGGGATAAGAAAGCCAGTTCAGTCTGCCAGCCAGTTAGCCAACTATCAAAAACCAAGTTAACCTGTCTAAGAACATGCGTTTAAAAACAGGGGTTTAGTTAGCACACATTTGCAAATACATACGTAAGCCACAGAGCCACGTTACGGCACCCTGAGTATCTGTGGTCCTAACTCCATAAATCTAGAGAATCCTCATAGTGGAGGCACATGCATTTAAATAGATAGAAACAAGGGCAGATAAACGTGAGGGGGCCCCACCCCTCATAAAGGTTATGGGAGCGCACCTGACACCCAGCATAGAGCACAACGGCAGCTAGGGAGTCCAGTGCACCCACTGAACCTACAAAGCATACAAAGAAAAAAACTGATCACCCGCCCAGGTCTATAACTGGCTTTTTAACCACTTCCAGTCCGGACATTTTTACCCCCTTCCTGTCCAGGGCAATTTTCAGCTTTCAGCGCTATCACACTTTGAATGACAATTGCGCAGTCATGCAAATACTGTACCCATATGAATTTTTTACCATTTTTTGAGACAGATAAAGCTTTATTTTGGTGGTATTTATTCACCGCTGGGATTTTTATTTTTTTTGCTATGTAAATGAAAAATTCCAAAACTTTTTTTAAAAAGTGTTTTTCTTATAAAATTTTGCAAATAAATAATCTTTCATCATAAATCTTGACCAAAATTTATTCTGTTATATTTTTAGTAAAAACAAAATAAGCCAAATTAGTTTATAACAAAAAATTATAATTTTTAAACTTTTTTTTTACATTTTTTTTTTTTTTTTTTATTATTATTTATGTTTTTTTTTTTTTTTTTTTACATACTGTCACCCTAGCAGTACAGTGTCAGCATGGTGACACTGTACTACTTGTGGGGGGTGATGAAGATTTTTTTTTTTTTTACAGTGATTGCTTTTACACCCATAAAGGATGTAAAAGCAATCATTTCTCTCTTTCTCTCTGTCTGCATTCTTGCAGCCATTGAGAAATACTGAGTGAGCTGTGATTGGTCACAGCTTGTCACATGGTACAAGGCTGTTGTGAATAGCCTTGTACCATGTGACCTCTGTGATCATTCACAGATTTCACACATAGTAAGCAATGATGTCACAAGTGACATCTTGCTTACTACTTTGCATGTGATCACTGATTGGCCTATCAGTTATCACATGATCGGGACCTCGTACAGAGGTCCCGTCCGACGATCAGTGTTTCACTGTGTCCGGAGGACACAGTGGGCACCGGATCGCGTTGCTGCGCGCTCCCAAGGAGCGCACACAGCTAGAAAAGGCGGGTGCCGTTTATGAATGGCAACCCGCCCCTGGAGTGCCGCCGCCCTGCCATTTATAAACAGTAGGCGGACGGCAAGTGGTTAAGCAGTGAACATGGAGGGTGTCACTGTGTGAAAAATTCAAAAAATAGAACTATTCAGTTCAACTTGCCAGCCTACCCCAGTCTAATCACGGCTATTGTCGGCAAGGAACATGGATATGTATAACTTATCAACAGAGGGGATAAGAAAGCCAGTTCAATCTGCCAGCCAGTTAGCCAACTATCAAAAACCAAATGAACCTATCTAGAAACATGCGTTTAAAAACAGGGGTTTAGTTAGCACACATTTGCATCCATACACCCCTGTGCAGGGCCATCTTTTCCTGCACAGGATGCACAGATGTTCCATGCATCCATGTGCAGACAATCTCTATCATGTCTATTTGGATGCTGCGGCTCCACAGATAGAGTTGCTTGGTCCCAATTTGACAGTCTATTGGGTACACGTCCCCAAACGCACACAGTGTGCATTTAGGGACACCCACACCTGCATGGCTGCCAAACTGGGACCCGTTGCTCATCAGTTTAGTGTAAGATAGGACAGGCCTAGAATTATTGCTCCCACCCTGGCGTTCGTGCCAATATATAACATGTGTGGTGCAATTGCTGTTTACATTCAGGTGCATGCCCTGTGCATGCTCAGCTGGGTGCTGCTCATTTGACCCCCCTCCCCGACTATAGGCAGTCACTCATGGGCCTTGGCTCTCTCCTTTCATTTTCTTGCTGAGAAAGGCTGCTGGCTGCAGACTTGCCTCCCCCCCCCTCCCGCTGCATGCCACAACCTTATAATTACACCGCACTCACATGTATATGTGCCTTAGGACCTGCTCCAGGTACATATAGCGCATATGCTTCAGGAAGCCCTAAAGATGCTTAATAACAGATGAAACAGGTGAGGCAGTGTTCCTCAGCTAATATGTTCCATCCAATCCCTAGAGCAGGGGCGGACTAACAACTCATGGGGCCCCCGGGCAATAGGGGATCATGGGGCCCCTGTGTCCTTGCCCACACCCAAAAAAGCCTATGAAAAAGCGAATGAAAGGTACCAGGGGCATCTCATGGGGCCCCCTACTGATCCCAGGCCCTCGGGCAGTGCCCGAGTGCTCAAATGGTCAGTCGGCCCCTGCCCTAGAGCACAAGCCAGCTTCTGGTCTTGGGGTGGCAGCAGCCATCTGAACCATAAGCTCGGTATGTACCTGGTGCCCTAGGCACATATACACATAAGTGTGGTGTAATTGTATGGTTTTATATAGTTAAATAAAGTTGGTTGCTTTGCGCAATGAACCTTTTCCCTGATACTTTTTTTTGAGTGGCAGTGTATTGCATTGGAAGGAAGAGCATCCTGGTACATGTGAATGGTTGTTGGTGACAAGATACACAGTGGGTCCAACCAAAAAGTGAGTGGGAGGAAAGGAGTCGTGTCTTGTATTAATGTGAGGAAAAGTGCCCCGAGGTCCAGATAAAGGCAAGCAAAGGGTCTCACCCAGTTCCCACAGTTTGGAGACCATTGATCTAGGATCAGAACCACTGCCAGCCTATAACCTGACTGAAACCATGTTCAAATTCCCTGAAAGCATGCATGCATAACTGAAAGAACAGAAGATCTGCTCCAGGTGAGTGCCGAATCTGCATAACCCCTCCACAGACATGTAGGTGCTGGCCTAATCCGTGATCACAGATGCAGTGGAAATACAGAATGGTTGGCCGCACAAACAGCAATGTAGTGGATGAAATCCTTTATTGGACTCCTTTATATGCAATATAAGAACATGACAGCTCCAAGACAGGACAGAGGAGCAGTAGACCTACTGTTCCTCTGCCCTGTCTTGGAGCTGTCATGTTCTTATCATATTGCATGTAAAGGATTCCAATAAAGGATTTCATCCACAACCAGTGGTGGACTGACAACTCATGGGGCCCCTGGGCAATAGGGGATCATGGGGCCCCTGTGTCCTCAACCACACTCAAACCACACCCTAAAAAAGCCTATGAAAGGTACCAGGGCAGGGGCAGACTGACCATATGGAAACTCGGGTACTACCCGAGGGCCTGGGGTCAGTAGGGGGCCACATGAGATGCCCCTAGTACCTTTTTCATAGGCTTTTTTGAGTTTGGGCAAGGACACAGGGGCCCCATGATCCCCTATTGCCCGGGGGCCCCATGAGTTGTCAGTCCGCCCCTGTACCAGGGGCATCTCACGGAGCCCCCTACTGACCCTGGGCCCTCGGTTAGTGCCTGAGCGCCCGAATGGCCAGTCCGCCCCTGTCCACCGCATTGCTGTTTGTGCGGCCAACCATTCTGTTTTTCCATAGCATGCATGCATGCAAATCATCAGCAACACACATCTATGTAAACCCTTAAGGAACACCATTGCTCATTCCATTTAGTTTTCTTTACCACTGAAAGAGTTTTTCTAGCCAGTATCATGTACAGGTCCTTAGAGAGGGAGTAGGCGGTCTACATGTGTTGTCTTGAATGTTTCGAGATTTCCACACATGCTGGACAAAAGGCTGACGTGCACAGTGACACCATACAAATAGATGGGAGGGACTGGTTTCCACAGCAGCCTGTGACAACAGAACACCTCCATTCCTGCTAACGTCTTTTCTCTTGGTTCTCTTCCTCTTGTGAAGGCTGGAAGCCCCTCAGGCTTTCTACACCTCCCAGACAATGACAAAGGTATGACATTCCATCTATCTCTGCAGGAAATTTCATGTTTTTAACCCAAGACTGCTGTGATGTTTTAGGCTGGTCATACACGTTTATATTTTTGTGCAAATGTATGAGGGTCCTGAAAAATGTCATTTGATTGTCAGGACAATGTTATGAATTTTAACATTCAATGTCAGGATGAATGGAAGTAAATGTGATTTGGAATGAGGATTATATTCACAATTAGAACTGCATTCTGGCAGTTAAGAAACAAGAACAGTTTTCCATTTTTCTTTTCCTTCGATTTTCCTCATCACAGTTGTAGACTTGACTACACTTACCAATAGAAAATCGAATGGATGTGTAGCGCACCCTCAAAGGAGCTGCTGCTGCTGAACTTGTTTCCTTTACCCCTAGTTTTTTTTTTTTTTTTTGAACAATGAACTGAAGGATGAGGTGAAGGGAACGTGGGATACAAAATCTGAAGAAATTAATACTTTGAAAACTATTCTCTATCTTGCTTAAAGTAAAGTTCCAGCCCTTTATGGCATCCAGCAATGTGCTCACCTGTGCCGTCCCTTCTCTGCCTCTTCTCTCCCCAGCATCACAACTGCGGGCACCAGGCTGTGACAGCTTGCGGCTTCAGAGCTGGGTGCGCACTGCGCATGCGCAAGTCGCGCTGCACATTCTGATTGGTCCGGAAGTCTTCTGGGACCTGTGAATGTTCCCAGGAGACTGCAGGAGGAAGGAGGGGGCCGAACTTCTGGCTCAGTTCGCCGCGGCTAAGCCGGAAGTGGGAGCAGGTACCTGTCAAAAACAGGTATCCGTGCCCCCTCACAAGGTGCCAAATATGGCAGTGGAGGGGGGGGGGTGGAGGAGGCAAACAAGTGGAGCTTCCACTTCTGGGTGGAACTCCACTTCAGTTGCAATATGTCCCACAGAAACTCTAAATCTGACAGGTGACTAGAACTAGTCCCCCCTCAAAAGGTGCCAAATATGGCAGTGGAGGGGGGGGGGGGGAGGAGGCAAACAAGTGGAGCTTCCACTTCTGGGTGGAACTCCACTTCAGTTGCAATATGTCCCACAGAAACACTAAATCTGACAGGTGACTAGAACTCAAAAGTCTAAAAGCTGTATACAGTCACTAACTTCCAGCACCAGTGTCATTTACTCACACAGGATCTTAGGTTGCCTTCTTCTGATATCCACTGGGCACTCTCCAGTAAGGGAGTTGTGGACTCACTCCCCTAACCTCCTGCTGGTACTTTCCAGTGAGCTTCTCCACACCCAAATCAACTCCAGGAATAGGCTTTCCAAATAGAACCCCCCAGCTGATGTTTCAGCTGGGACCTCAATGTCTTCCACATGGCACCTCCAGTACTCCTGCTCCAGAGGTAGAATCCCTGCAAAGGGGTCTCCTCCAGCAGGACTGGACCAAGGAACTCTGCTGCACCTGTCTCAGTCCCCAGACTATTTATTGGCTCTTCCACCACATACTGGGTACACCTCCACAGGGATTGACTGGAGTTTCATAAATATTCAGCATGTTTCCTCTGTGCTTCCTCCTACTATAATTCTAGAATCCTATTGAACACAGGGGAAGTAACCAGAGCAGCAGCCTGTGAGACACTAAGCAGGCCTGAATAATCAACCACTACCCCACTGACTACAGGGGAACCACTAGAGTGCTAGAGTGTTTCCAAACACAAGTCTAACAGTATATGGCCAACACTAGTCTGAAAACGTTGGATTATTTTTCATTTTCTTTAGACAGGATTCAATTAACCTATCCAATATGTGTATGAATGTAAGTTAGAGACTTTAGATTTATGCCACATCAGGGTTAGGGAGTGATGTGAATGTACAATATATATGTAAAGTGCTGTGTAAATTGATGGCGCTATATAATAAAAATGTTTCTTTAGTGTGAATGATACTCCTGTAACTGTGAGGGAAAAGGCTCATCTGTGACTAATAAAACAATTAAATAGTAGTGATGATTTCTATCCTACTTTAAACTTTTTTGTCTGCTCAAAATTTTTTCAAAATTCTAGCGCCTTCCTAGAGTTGTCGGCTAGGCAAATTTTGCTTTGGCTCCCTCTGTAATTAAGCGAGCAGTACTTGTTTTGTCTTGCCCGTTCAGGGTCTCACAGACTGGGAGTTCACCTCTGCCTCTGTAAGAAGCTTCCAGAGCTTAGGGCAGGAGATTCAAATTGACCATCCTGAATATTTATAAGGGTCTGGCCAGTCCCAGGAGAGGAAGTGTCCAGAAGGGGGCTGGAGTGCAGATAAATAGACTGAGACATTGGAGAACAGGGTTCCTTCTCCCCAGGAGGGTTACAGAGGTGCAAGGGCTGCTGCTGCTAGGCAGCTCGGGCATTGAACAGCTACTCTAGGAGGCCTCAGAGGTGTCAGGATCAAAGGTTCAAATGGACATTGCTCAGAGCTGACTGCAGAATCGCGCCGCAAGGTATCCGGTCCTGAGAGACACATCTCACTCACTGTGCTATGTCCGGAGGAAGCTGGGTGTAGGCAGCTGTCCTGGGGATGTGTGAGCAGTGACCTTAAGTAGATCCCCGATACTGTGTACTGGACACTACACTGGGTACCAATAGCTGTGCACTGGCGAAGGGTAACCAGATGCCCAAGGACGTGCCCCATGGTCTTCAGCTGCGGGGTCTTGGACTGTTCACTGTTAGGCACTACTGCTACTACTAGAAAGATTTCATTCTGTTCACTATCTAATGCTGAACGTTTTGGAGTATCCTATACCCCCAACCCCTCCCCTGTTACAAGTTTCTTCAGCAGTATATCTTAAAAAGACAATCCCTAGACTGCTTATTAGAGCCAGAGTGAATGGACTGTTGCTTGGGTGGTTGGCAGCCTCTGCTGTCAGCACAAGAACCACCTAAAATCAGCAGCCCCTGTGAGGGTAGCGCTATATAATATTGCACAGATGGAACAGCAGATTTAACTACCTGATCCTTCACCCCTGGCAGATGATGCTCCTGCAGTGTAGTGTTCCTCAGCATCCTTACATGCAATGCAGGGAATTGGGTCCTGCATTGTTTTTCATGACATCAAAGGACCCTGGGCCGCTGTAACATAGGTTAAAGCAGTGTTTCTCAACTCCAGTCCTCATGGACCCCCAACAGGTCATGTTTTCAGGATTTCCATTATTTTGCACAGGTGATTTGATCAGTTTCACTGCCTTAGTAATTACCACAGCTGTTTCATCTGAGGGAAATCCTGAAAACATGACCTGTTGGGGGTCCATGAGGACTGGAGTTGAGAAACACTGGGTTAAAGGAAGCTGCAGGAACCAGTCTAGCAGAGCAAAGGAACCTGCAGGAGCTGAGGACCAGGTAAGTAAAAGTGCTTTACTATGTCCCCTAGACATACAGTAGATATGACTGCGGTTTAACCCTTGCAGAGCAGGAGCAGCCCCACTGCAAGGTAGGATTTTTTGGTTTCCTGGAGGTCATCTTTAACTGCTTCTCTGCTGCCCTATAGCACAACTACTGCTACAGGGCAGCAGGGCTGCGCAAAATCACACACACACACATATATATATATGTGATTTTTTACATGTCCGGGTAGGGAGTGCACGAGCGGTCCGCCCTACCCGTGCTGCCATTGGCGGCTACAGCTGTCGATAACCGTGTCCTGGCCAGAGATTGCCTGCCGGCACCCAGCAATCGCCAAGGAACAGTGACAGGGGAGAGTTCTATGTGTAAACCCTGTGAGGCTGCTTTGTATTGCTCTGCATGGTAGAGAGATACAAAACAGCATGTCTCCCTAGTAAAACACAAAACACAGCACAGTTAGACCATGATGGAACTTGTAGTCCTGCAACAGCTGGAGAGCCGCAGGTTGCCTACCCCTAGTAAAACACACACAGCACAGTTAACCCTTTGATCGCCCAAAAGTTAACCCCTTACTGCACAGTGCTATTAGTACAGTGTCAATGCATTTTATTAGCACTGATCAAGGTATTAGTGTCACTGGGGATGTCAGTGGCAGCTAATCAGTTCCCACCCAGCGTCTGAATGCCCGCCGCAGTCCCGCTATAAGTTGCTGATTGCCACCATTGCTAGTATAAAAAAAAAATTCCAGTATATACCGCCACTTGTAGACGCTATAACTTTCATGTAAACCAATTAATTTACACGTATTAGGATTTTTTTTTAGCAAAGACATGTAGAAGAATACAATTTGGCCTAAATTTATGAAGAAGTATATGATTTTTTTTTATTGGATATGTTTTATAACAAAATAAAATAAAAAATATTGGTTTTTTTTTTCAAAATTGTTTTTTTTTTTTTATATAGAGCAAAAAATAAAAACTGCAGAGGTGATCAAATACCACCGAAAGAAAGCTCTATTTGTGAGGAAAAAAAGGACATTATTATTATTATTATACAGGATTTATATAGCGCCAACAGTTTGCTCAGCGCTTTACAATATAACGGGAGACAAAACAGCAACAATACAGTTCAATACAAGAGAGAGGCCCTGCTCCTTGGAGCTTACAATCTAGGACATAAATTTCATTTGGGTGCAGCGTTGCATGTCAGTTAAAGTAGCGCAGCACCGTATCGCAAAAAATGGCCCGGTCAGGAATGGGGTTAAATCCTCTGGAGGGCAAGTGGTTAATAAACACTTAGGTGTTGATTTACTAAAGGCAAATAGACTGTGCACTTTGCAAGGTGCAGTTGCACTCGGCAAGAGCAGTTGCTTCAGAACTTAGTAAATGAGGTAAAGCTTCACTTTGCAAAGAATACCCAATCATATACAAGAAAAATAAGAAAAAATAGCATTTTTGCTTGAATGATTGGATGATGAAATTCAGCAGAGTTTCTGCTCATCTGCTAAGCTCTGGAGCAACTGCACTTCCAGAGTGCACAGCCTATTTGCCTTTCGTAAGTCAACCTGTTTATGTTTTTGAGAACAGGCTTTGCGTGTGATCCCGAAGCACTATTACTGTGATTATACCCCTGAACTTTACACAGGCCACAAATATCCAG